TTAAAATCTTCATGGTCAGTTCAAATGGGTGCTCTGCTCTGGAGACTGCAGTGGCAGCGTGTCAGGAAATGGAATTTTCACTAGCATTATTCTGCAGTAAGGATTTGGACAACCACTGTGGTCTAGCACTGTCCTGAAGTCCTATGGCCTGATGGAGAGCATTGGCTCCGGCAAGTCACAGGAAGAATGTCCATCTGCCGGTTCCCCAAGCCCAGATGGCCTTCACTCTGCACTAATAACTGAACTACAATGCAGTTCTGTACAGAACAGCAAAACCTCCCGTCTGAAATCATCTTAGGGCTGAGAATTAGAGGTAACAAATGCAATGCTGATTCTCAAAAAGGGTTCTAGATTAGATCCCCTAAACACAAGGGAAGCATGGAACTATAAAGTCATTATCTGATCAAGAGGGTAGACAGTGTAACGGAGAAACAATGAACGTGATACTACAGAAAGGGTCAGCATCTGCGTTTGTAAAGGCAAATCCTGTCTTGTAGAACTGGAGGTTTTTGAGGGACTTAGCAAGCTTGTGGATAAGGTGAGTCTGGCTGGTACAGTTTCCTTGGATTTAAAGAATTTAATGAGATTTTCTCGTCAAGGTCTTTAAATAAAGCTGAAGTCATGGCATAAAAACGGTTAGGTTTTCTTGGGTTAAGAGACAGTAGAAAACAGGAAATGGAAGGTGGGAATTAACATCCCATTTTTACAGCAAAGGGAAGTCATCAGCGGTCAGATCACAGGGGCCTAATGTCAAATATACACCATTTAGTATATTCCCAAGTGACCTGGGAATAGAGCTCAGTGAGGTAAGAAAATTGGCTGATGGTAGAAAGTTATTCAGGATAACAGGGTGGGAGTTGACTGTGAATAATTGCAGAAGGACCTTGTGATAGTGAATGAGTGGGTGATAGAGCAGCAGATGAAATACCATACAGGCCTATGTCAAATAATGTTCACACAGCAAAATAATTTGAAGCTTACATATAAAACAATGTTAGCTAATTGTAGCCTCTCTTGAGTGACACTCTGATCATATGTATAAGTCCATGCAGTTGGTAGCTCAGTGTTCAGTTGTGAACAAATACAAGAAATCATCACTGTCATGACTCACCAGCATCTTGGACACCACAGTTCTGTGCCCACCTTTACCATTATCTCCAAAACAGGACACCAGAGATAGAATCATCTTGGAGAGTGACAGCAAAGGTGATCGGAGGTGTAGAAAAGTTCTGTATGAAGAACACCTTAATAGGGCTGGAGTCTTCAGCCTGGCAAAGAGCTGAGGACAGACATAGATGTTACAGGTCTGTACCATGAACAGCTTGGAGGAATTGAACAGGAATTAGGAGTCAGTCACTGCATTTTCTTTCTTTACAACAGTCAGATGTTAATAAAAAAGAGGCTGGCAACAGGTTATAAGCAAGTCAAAGAGGGGGCTGTCTCTGTAGCTGAGCACTGCATCCTTGCCAGATGATGCAAAATTTGTTATGGATTTGACTGCTACTCTGCAAGTAGCTGCAAATACAGGCTTATGAAGTATGAGGGGAAAAGAAACTCTACACATAACCTTGTCCTCTACTCTAACAACCGTTTTGACCTTTGGGTCACCTAATCCAATGCCCTGCTCACAACAGAGCTAACCCCAAAGCTAGATCAGGTTACTCAGGGACTTGTTGAGGTGAGTCCTGAGCACCTCCCAGAGTGGAGATTCTCCTGCTGCTTTGGGGACCTGTGGTGAGTGCTGAACTGCCCTTAGGGGGGAGCACGTGTGTAATTTTTCCTGGTATCTAATCAGAATTTCCCTTGTTGCAGGTTATGCCTGTTGCCTCTTGTCTTTTTGTTGTGTCTCAAAAAGAATAATTGGCTCATCATCTCCAAGTGCTCCCATCACCTTTTAGGTAGTCTTGGACAGCTGTTAAATCCTTTCTTAAGCATCTTTTCTCCAAGATGCATAAACCCAGCTTACTCTGCCTCTGCTGTGCTCTAGCCTCTTCACTGCCTTAAAGGTCTTATGCTGGATTCTTTCCAGTTTCTCAGTGCCTTTTTCTTTACAGCAGTCCAGATGTCGGTGTCTTTTCATTAGCTATTTGATTTATCTTCTCCTGTAAATTTGTTCCTGCTGTGGCTTGGATTTACAAGATGAGGTTCTAACACCCATGTTGTACTGAAAGCCAAACAACAACGTAAGAGCAGTCTCTTCGCTGAAATCTCTTGACCTGTTAATTATATTTAAAAGTATTTTAGTGGCTCAATTATAATCTGCTGTTCCATGCTGCAGCCATTTGGGAGAACAGCCTCAAAGATACCAACCGATGTCTTCTCTGTGGTGATATTTCCCTCCCTTACTGGCAGGAGCTCCTCCCTGGTAGTTTTCAAGTAGATGGGTCAGATCAGAGACACCAAGGCACCTGTATGCATCCAGTCCTTTCTTGATCTGAAAGCAACCAGAAGCATAAATTCATCCTGCAAATTATGTGATATGGGATTTGTGTCCACACAAATACTGTAATGGGTCAGTCACTCTGCACCCTGTGGCTTGTCTTGCTGGAGAATACTGAGTTACATGGGTTTAATGCTAACTCACCTTTTCTACTCTGCTCTGGGCTCTTCACTACCTTGTTTTTTCCCTCTTTCCCCATATCCAACTAATGTTCAGTTCCTCAGACTGATTTTTTCCTTCAGTCTGGTATAGGGATGCCTAGGTCTTTTTTTTTTAATCTGCCTTGAATTCATATGAACCCAACATAATCTAATATTATTTAGGTATGGGGAATTCTCGTTTGTGACTTCTGCCCAGAAGAAGAATGGACTTCTGCCATTTCTCTCCTACCATGAAACAATACTGTTTTCCTCTGCTGTTTTCCTAGAGTGTCACTGATTTAAGTGCAAATTCCACAACTTTATGTAGAAGTTGTTCCCTTGAGTACAGTTCTCTATGTCTCTAGTCTCCTTTTCTTTTTATAGTATCAGTTTTAAGTCAGTACAGCTGGATCCCTGCAGCTCACTGCACCCCAGCTCATAATGTGTGTGAAACTAGAAGCATTTCAAAGGAAGCTGTTGTAGGTGCTTGGCTTGCCTTTCTAGCAATGAAGGTTAGTTTCCCACTGGCCCCTCTGGCACTTCCCTTTGTTGTTATTTTCTGTCTTGGCCATGAGGTTTTTTTCTCAGTCCTAGCTAGCAGCCTACTCAGCTTTCTGCAGGATTTCCCAGTCTAATGGTGTGGGGACAGTCTGCAGCTGTCCGTACTTGAAATAAGCAAGGCTCTTGCTGTTCCTGCTGCCCACACCACGCCATCACCACACAGCATAGCTGAGATGGCCCCAGAGAAAAGTCAGGCTCCTTTGCCAGCTGGGTTGCCCTCTTAAGCTGCTGCTTAGCTCCTATTCTTTCATGAGGCCTGCAGACCTTGAAACCAGTGCTATGGACAGGGCAGTCATGGCCTGCAGCTGTAAACATCCAGATGACTGGAATGGTTAGTTTTCCTTCTTTGTACCTAGTTGTCCAGGTTGTCAGCTTTGGCCTCAGTATGCCATGCTGGGACTTTGAAGGTCCTCAGCTAAGCTTTCTCAGTGCTGTCTGGGCCCAGCTGTAGGTAGTAGCTGCTTGTCCTGGTCTCTGCTCGCCTTTCTAGGCAGCTTCACCACCACCTCCCACTGCTTTTGAGCTACCGCTGCTCATGTCAGTCCCATCACGCAGCAGGCTGGTTTCAGGCAGGCACTGCTGTGCTCAGAGAGCTAACCTGGACCTTGAAGTCTGCAGCTCTGGGTTCACACAGATTGTCCCTGTGCCTGTACAGAGCACGTAGGATATTTGGAACCATTCATGTCTCTCACTGGCCTCTTGGAGAAGAAGGGGAACAGAGGACATGCAGAACTGAATTTTGTGAGCATGGCTGGGAGCCAAAATGCATGCACAGAGTCAGCCCTAGTGTGCAAAAAGACAGGGACCCAAAGCTAACAGGGGGGATGGGGAGGAAAGACACAAAAGGAGAAGCAGAAGTGTGTGCAAAGCAGCTTGGGGCTGGGGAGTTGATGGCTCAGAATGCTTCCTGTTCCTGGAGCCACGTGTGCCCTGCTGCACAGGGGCTTGCGCCTGCCTCTGCCCGACAGCACTGCACAGAGGGTCAGAGATCAAGGCAGCTCTCCAGAAAAGGTGGATGGAAAAGGTCTGAATGGACTGACAGTAGACTCCAGGAGAGATGCATGGCCAGCTCCCAAGAGGCACGGGAACAGCTTGGCATAAGAGGCACAGGAACAGCACAAACCTCCGACTTCCCTTTTCTCACCAGCGTAAACTGATTTTTCCTCTGTGTTTCTTGAGTTGCTTTGGTGGTAGCCACTTGGGCCTCTCTTCCTGCGTCCTCCACAATGGTGAGGTAAGAGGGGCTGAGAAGTCTGTATGTGTAAGGAGGGGGACCAAGGAAGTAGGATAGATCAGAGGGGTGGTCACCCTGGAGGTCATATCTCAAATGGATACCTTTCATAGGCTTGGGGAGGTATCAGGTAGGAAGGGATGCTGCTGCTGGCTCTCACCTAGGGATGCTGACCAAGGACCATTCTTTACCCTGCAAGTCACCACAATAGTGCCTGGCCTTTTTTATTCCCTTGGTCTTGCTTTTATCTCCTCTGCTAGGTGGTTTCACCGTGACCTGAGTGGGCTGGAAGCTGAAGCCTTACTGAAGAGACGAGGTGTCCCTGGAAGTTTTCTGGCCAGACCCAGTCGGAAGAATCAGGGGGATTTTTCTCTTTCAGTCCGGTAGGTAATTTGGATTCCAATGTTACATACACAGACTGCTTAGATTCTCTGTGTCTCGTGGCATCTTCTTCATCCTGTCCCCATTCCTGTGAGTTCTTTCCAGGCTGTAAAAGAACCTGAGCTTCCCAGCATCTTATAGACCCTCCCTCAAGTTGCCCCAGGAATTTTTCTTTCCAGCCATCTCTTTTCACAAGGATGGTTTGCTGTGGTTCTATGGGAGGAGGTAATGAGGAACACTTTCTGCCTCTTTTCCAACTGCCTCACTGGACTGCCCTGTGCTTCATTCCTCAGGGTTGGTGATCAGGTAACCCACATCCGCATCCAGAATACTGGGGATTTCTATGACCTGTATGGCGGGGAGAAGTTTGCCACCTTGTCAGAACTGGTGGAGTACTACACACAGCAACAGGGCTCACTGCAGGACAAAGATGGAACCATCATCGACTTGCGATACCCACTCAACTGTTCCGACCCCACAACAGAGAGGTATGGGGACAGCAAAGCAGGAGCTGATGTGTCTGTGATGAAACCTCCTCTGTGTTTCATGGCCTTCGTTCTGTCCTGTCTGCATCCCTAGGGCAAATCCTGCAAAAAGTGTTGCCTGCCTCCTGTAGCCTCCTATGTATCCATGGGGTCAGCACCCACAGGAATAGCTGGACATACCTTGACCCATCACAGCAGACCTTATAGGGCTCTATTTTTACTTCTGGTTTCCGGTTGCCTTTGCTATTTATATACTGTTCCTAAAAGCACAGGTTGTGGTGTTAGGTGTGGGTCTGCAGCGGTCTGTAGGGTGACATGTTGTGTGGAAGCCCTCAGTCTTGCCCCAACCTTCTTTGGTTATTCTGGACCAGGGTGACTCATGTTGCTAAGAGCAGGACCATGTTCCCCTGCTATTCCTAGCCCGCTTAGTCTCCTTCCTGTTGCCGCTTTGCATGTGTCTCTGACGCCAAGTTCCTAAATCAAATCAGGTGGTTTTTGCCCTTGCATTTTGCTTTCAGGCTCTTTGTTGCAGCTTGGAGAGCTGTGGTGCCCTGCTCTAGGTTGGACAAGTCCTCCTTGGACAGATCCTACTTGGGCATCTGGAGGCAGGGAGCAAAGATGCCCTGGGTGAAGCATCAGGGTACACCTCAGTTTGCTCTGGGATCAGGCTGCAGAAGTGTCAGGTCTGCTGCTGGCTATCCTCTCCAGTCAAGGCTGTTGCATTGTGGCCCTGCAGTTTCCTCCCTTCCTCTCTGTGGTTGGAAACTTACACACCGCCACCCCCCCCAGCTCTTACGAAAGCTCCTCTCACTCTCTCCCCAAGTGATTTTCCATCACGTGGCTTTGAAGAACTGGGCTATGCTGGGGGAAGGGAAGGGGGCAATGGGACCCATTAACCCCATCCTACCTGTGGAGAAGAGGCTGAGACCTCTTTGATGAGCAGGAGGGGTCAACTGATCCCTAGGTGGCATCTGAGCACATGGTGGCTGAACGCTTCTTTGGGAAGAGGTTCAGAAATTAATGACTGCCATGCAATAAAAGCCACCAGCTACTTCTTGCAGTGGATGGGGTGAGGATTAAATGAAGTTACTTGCCAAGGTCGATAACTGTGTCCCACCTCTTGCAGTGTGTAGGAGAATGTGTTGCTCTGACCAGATGCAGGGGTGAATCAATGACCCCGCTGCTTCTGTGACTGGGGCATGGCCTCCTGAAATCATTCTCTATTCCTGGGAACAGATAGCCCCCTAACAATGTGAGGTTCACCAGTACCACCCCAGGTCTTCAGTGTTAGCTGCTCTGTGGGCATCAAACCTGCTCCCACTGTCCTACCACACTGGCTCCTCTACTGAGCATCAGCCTGGCCGTGCGCAGTGACACAGGGCGCGTGGCTGGGCTTGCTGAGGTACCTGCAGCAAGCAGGAGGGACACTACAAGTCAGTCTGATGCAACAGCTACCTGCTTTTGAAATGCTGTTCCCCTGGGGAGGTGGCCAAAACAGCTGTGTCTCCAGCTGATGGGGCAGGTCTGCAGAAGCAGGACAGAGCTGTGGCAAACATGGCCATGCTGCAACCCACCCCGAGCACAGAGCCCAGCACACAGCTGCAGCTGAGCATGGGGATGTCCCAGGACCAGAGGGTACTGTCTGAACCAGGTCCATCCCTGCTGGAAGAGAAGGACCCAAGTTCCCTGCCTGAAACCAAGCTGGGAAGGAGTGAAGGGGAGCAGGAACACCAGGGCTGTGCTGGCACCTGGGCTGAGATGGGTTCAGACCCAGCTCCACCAGAAATTGGGTACCAGGAGTACTGGGGTAATTCAGAAGACTTCCCTGTGCCTAGAGCACCTTAACTCTCAGCTTTCTATACTCTGGATCTCTAGCTCCAGATTCCAAGTGAGTTTTGTAGAAGCAGGACAGTGCTGCAGTGAACATGTCCCTCCATGTCTCTACTTGGCAGCTCAACAGTGCCCCCCAGGACTTCTGATGTGGTCCAAAGAGACTGTGGAGCTTGGGACAGGCATGAGGAACTAGAGGATCTGCACAGAGACAACCTGGATCACTTCTGGAGCTTCTGCAGAGCCAAGAGCCCAGTAGGAAGAGAGGTCACAGTTGTCCCATGTCCCAACCTGATTCTGATGACCACACTTTCACCTACACTGCACAGTTCAGTGAGATCCTATTAGGCAGGCACATACCTTCCCAGAGACCTCAGTAGGTGGGCAGGGGCTTGGCAGCAGCTGTGCCATTTGCACCACACTTGTGTCCCTCTGTGCCCTGGGTCCAGTCCTGCAGCAAGGTAGATTGCAATCCCCATTTGACCAAGGTAGCACCTTGGTCAAATGGGGATGCTCCTCACCTGGTGCTGGGAGGAGCTGCTGATTGGGTGTTCACATTGAGGACAGGAATGTGCACATGGATCAACAACAGTGTAAACACTAGGAGCAGAATATGGGCTTCAGGCGGCTCCTGGTGCTCACTCCTGTGGCTAGGCTGATTGCTGCAGTGTGACATGCCCAGAGAATAGGAATTATCCTTTGATTGAAAAGGTGATTGAGTTTCAGAGACAGGGGTTGCTGGAATGGTTCTTTAATGTATCTGTTCTCAATACAACTGTCTGGGTGGCTGCGAAATCTGCTGGGAGAGTTTCTGACTCAGTGGGGGTTTATTTTTGTTTCTCTGGTGTTTGAGTTTTGAGAGCACCTTGTAGCAGTAAGGTTTGAATCCCAGTAATACTGTGAGGTGCTGAAACCCACAGACTACCCTCCCCCAACTGGTCTTCAAGCCAGCAAATATTGCTTACCTGTGCTTATGTGTGTCACACAACGGAGTCACACTTGGTGCTTTTGCACTGAGTCCTCTGGTACTAGCATTCTGCTTCCTGGGTCCCTTCTGCCTTTGCCTCATCCTTTGCCCTTTCCTCTTCTTGCCAGCTCTCTATTTTCTTCTCATCTGCTTTTCCCAAGATGGTTTTCCTCCCTTGGTTACCCTCCCTCTCATTCCTTCCCCTCTGTCTACCCCTACCTTTCTTACTCCCTCACCTTTTCCCAGTGTTGCTGTCTTTGCGTATCAGCTCAAGGGCATCCACTTACTGCATCTCCACCTCTCTTCTGACACACTCTTGTTTTTCTTCTAGGTGGTACCATGGGCATCTGTCAGGCCCTGCAGCTGAGTCACTTCTCCAGGCTAAAGCCACTCCTTGGACCTTCTTGGTGCGGGAAAGCCTCAGCAAACCTGGGGATTTTGTCCTGTCTGTCCTCACTGACCAGCTTAAACCTGGGTCTGATGTTCCACCAGCTGGGGCAACCAGTGCCTCTGAGGCCCGACTGAAGGTCACACACATCAAGATCATGTGTGAGGTGAGCAGTGGGAGAGCAAAAGGAGAGGGAGTGGAAGAGGTCTCTCATAATCTCTGCTGATCATGTCCTCTAAAGCTTGTGACCTGTCAGCTTGATTACCACCAGCAGTGTTTCTGAATTTGCATCTAAGTCCTGTCACCTTGCAGGTTCCTTGTGTCCTTGCCCCAGCCTGAGTGACCATGGGCAGGAATGGGCACTCAGGCACAGGAGTAGGCAGGGCTCAGTGTGACTGAGAACACTGGTACAGGGAGTTTGCAGGAAAAGAGAGAGGAAGATTCACAATCTAATTACGAGCTCATCAAAAGAGTTAACAGTTCTTGGAGGAGGAGGAGGAAGAGGAGGGGTATCTGCAGGGCCTCCACACAGCCTGAGGGATGTTACCAATCTGGCTGTCACAAGTTCTCCTATTTTTTTCATGTGGGAATATGAGGTTTCAAGGACAGAGAGCAACTGACCCTAAATGAGATTTGAGGGAAGTATATCCTCTCTGGTCTTCCATTCACTGAGTGCCCAAGTCATTTCACTGTGCTAGGAACTCAGTGTTTCCAGGGCAAACTCCCGTTTGACCTCCCTGCCAGAGCAAATGCTTTTCTAGATGGTGGAGACTGGTGCTTATGGCTTTGCCCCCAGCACTGCCTTTTCCCTGAGCCTTATCAACTTTATCTATAGAACAGGCTGAAAGAATTGGCGCCGTTCAGCCTGGAGAAGAGAAGGTTCTGGGGAGACCTTACTTCCAGTACCTAAAGGAGGGTTATGAGAAAGATGAAGAGGTACTTTTTACAAGGGCATGGAGTCATAGGGCAAGGGGGAATGACTTCAAATTTAGAGAAGGCAGATCTAGATTAGCTATTAGGAAGACATTCTTCTCTGTGAGGGTGGTGAGGCACTGAGACAGGTTACCCAGAGAAGCTGTGGATGCCCCATCCCTTCAGGTGTTTGAGACCAGGTTGGGTGGAGCTCTGAGCGACCTGGTCTAGTGGAAGGTGTCCCTACCCATGGCAGGGGGGTTTGGAAACAGATGCCCTTTAGGGTCCCTTTCAACCCAAACCATTCCATGGTTCTGTGGATGAGACATTACCTTCTTCCTCCATTCAGAATGGACGCTACACCGTTGGAGGTGCTGAAATGTTTGACAGCTTGACAGATCTGGTGGAGCACTTCAAGAAGACTGGAATTGAGGAGATGTCTGGCTCGTTTGTGTACCTGAAGCAGGTAAATCCAGTTTCTTGGTTTTAGGGATCCTTTGGAGGGACTGACTTGCTGTTTGTTTCTGCTTTCTGTCCCTTTTCTTTTCTCCACAGTGCACAAAAGAGACTTTGCTCTCCAGTAGTGTCTCTTTCTCTCCCCCTTTCTCTGTCATGCCAACCCATTGTGTTTTCCCATCCTCAGCCCTACTACGCTACAAGGGTGAATGCTGCTGACATTGAAAATCGAGTGCAGCAACTGAACAAGAAGAGTCTTTCTGAGGAGACATCCAAGGCTGGATTCTGGGAAGAATTTGATGTAAGAAACTGCTGAGTGATATTATTTGGCTTTTTGGGAATTCCCTGTGCACCACCTCAATTTCTTCCTGGACACAAACTTCTTGTGTGTCTTGTCATTTTATCTCTGAAAGAATCACAGAATATTCAGAGTTGGAAGGGACCCACAAGGATCATTGAGTCCAGCTCTTGGCCCTGCACAGTACATCCCCAAAATGATATCACGTGCTTGAGTATTGTCCAGATGCTTCTTGAACTCTGTCAGGCTTGGTGCTGTGACAACTTCCCTGGGGAGCCTGTTCTAGTCCCCACACACCCTCTGGGTGATGAACCTTTTTCTAATATCCAGTCTAAATGTCCCCTGATACAGCTTCATGCCATTTCTTCTTGTCCTGTCACTGGTCACCAGAGAGAAGAGATCAGTGCCTGCCCTTCCACTTCCTCTTGTGAAGAAATTGTATACAGCAATGAGGTCTCCCCTCAGTCTCCTCTTCTCCAGACTGAACAATCCAAGTGACCTCAGCCGCTCCTTGTATGGCTTCCTGCCAAAGCCCTTTACCATCTTCGTTGCCCTCCTTTGGATGCTCTCTAATAACTTAATATCTTTCTTATGTTGTGGTATCTAAAACTGCTCACAGCATTTAAGATGAGGCCACACCAGTCCAGAGTAGAGCAGGACAGTCTCTGTTCGGAACCTGTTCCCCTGGGGAGTGCAGGTCATCTTTTAGTGAACACAGTGAGGTAGAAATGTGGAATGAATCACCAAGACAGTAAGGGCACAAACCTTGGAATTTTCAAGTCTGGGTTTGCTTTTTGCTTCCCAGCTCCCCACAAGAATGCTCATGTGTCCCCAGAGTCACCACTGTTCCTCTGAGTGCCCACCTCCCGTTGTACATTGTGACCTTGCCAGGATTATTTGTTCTTCTGCTTTCAGAATCTTCAAAAACAGGAAGCCAAGCACCTGTTTGACCGTCATGAAGGTCAGAGACCTGAAAACAAGAGCAAGAACAGATACAAGAACATCTTGCCCTGTGAGTCTTGCTTCTCTGCTATTAAAAAAAAACCCCAAATAGACACAGATGGGCAAAGAAGAGCTGTCCAAGTCATCCCTGGCCTTGCCTCAGCCCACTCTGTCTTCCAGAGCAGTTTACAAGGTGTGCAGCATTGAGGACTTAAGAGCTGCTGAGGGAGGTCACAGTCTTTTCATGACCTTGAAGGAAGGAGGAAGGGTTGAGTCAGGCTCATTAGCTTCTGATGGTCCATCACAGGGGCGGCAAGATGGGAGGATGGAGTGAGATTGATCTCACCCCAGGGAAGGAGAGATGGGGCAAGCTGCATGCAGTAGGAAGCATGAATGAGGTGGCTTGGGGAAGCGAAGGGACTTCGTGTGGCTGTGCCCAGAGTATCTCATTGCACTGTTTATTCTTTCACTGCATTCACAGTTGATCACTCCAGAGTCATCCTCCAAGGAAGGGACCCAAATATACCTGGATCTGACTACATCAATGCCAACTATGTTAAGGTGAGTCTCTTGAAAGATGGCTGTATGCCCAAAATGGGAGACCTGCCTGCTCCTGCGGCCCTTCTGATTTTCCCTTGTCTACACTCAGAACACCCAGATCAGCCCAGATGAGTGCACCAAGACCTACATCGCTAGCCAGGGCTGCCTGGATGCCACAGTCAATGACTTCTGGCAAATGGTGTGGCAGGAGAACACACGCATTATCGTGATGACAACACGGGAGGTGGAAAAAGGGCGGGTAAGTAGAAGTCTGTAGGTGTCTTGGAGTTGCTCTCTTTTCCCCTACAACCACTGCTCTGCTTTTTCTATCTTTCCTACCTTCTGCCCATCATCACCCTGCCCTCTCTCCCCATACAGAACAAATGTGTGCCCTACTGGCCAGAGGTAGGCAGCACAAAGGAGTACGGTCCCTACCTTGTGGAGAACATTGGGGAGCACAATGCGTTGGAGTACAGGCTCCGGCACCTCTGTGTGTGTCCGATGGCTAATGTGAGTGTGCCTGTTTGAGGGCTGTCATCGAGTCCATGGGTCTAACAGTCACCATACACCTAAAGCTGGGAACTGCTGGGTGCTGTGGTGATACTGCTGTTGTATTATTCTTGGGGTTGCTGTTTCCACCTGGTTTGGGCTGGAATCACACTGGTGAAATCACCAAGAAGTGAGCAGGAGGCAGAGATTCCCTCTGCCTTCAGACCCACCTCTCCCTGGGACAGAGGCCAGGGGCAGGGCTGGGTTGCAGATTTACCAGTGAGGTGCTTTGTTATTATCAGAGTAAGGTTGTGCGTGAGATCTGGCACTACCAGTACCTGAGCTGGCCTGACCACGGCGTCCCCAGTGAGCCAGGAGGAATCCTCAGCTTCCTTGACCAGATCAACCAGAAGCAAGAGAGCATCCCAAATGCAGGGCCTATTCTGGTGCATTGCAGGTTGGTACAGAGGCCAAGTTTTGAACCATCCTCCACCCCTTATCTAGGGTGAGAGATAAAAAGTCTGTCCTGCTGCTTCCACCTGTACCCCAGGATGGGGTGGAGCATATGCCAGCCCCAATATTTGCTTTTTCCTCTTTGATGCCCCCAAACCAAACTCTCGGCCAGGTGAATCTGTGACTCTTTCATGGCATTGCTGGACAGCTTTGTCATGAGCCACATCCTTCCTCTGAAGCAGCTGCATTTTGTTTTAGGAGCTGTATTGCTCTGACCTCTGCTTGTCCTCTCCTTGCAGTGCTGGGATTGGCCGCACTGGGACTATCATTGTGATTGATATGATTGTGGAAACAATCTCCACCAAGGGTAAGAGGACCTCAAAATACCTTGAAGTGAACTGGCCTAGCCAGGAGGGTTGTGCCCTTCAGTCCAGCTGAAGAGGGATGAAAACTATCAGGTATCAGTGGGAGAGATCCTGCCATGGCCCTGAGGAGGTGTGCTGCTAGAACTCTGTACCACATCCACTTATTGTGGCTTCAGCCTTCCCTGAGCTTTGGCCCTTCTTCCAGGGTCAGACTTGAAAGATGCTGAGCTGAGATAGGAGGTCCAAACAGGAATAAAGAGTATGGAAGGAGTTGGAAACTTTTTGACTGACATCCACTTGGACTGCTTTTGGTAGAGAATTGGGAGAGGGATGCAGTGAACATGTCTCTAAGGTTTTCTGGTGCTCCTTGCTAGGGCTGGACTGTGACATTGACATCCAGAAGACCATCCAGATGGTGAGGGCCCAGCGGTCTGGGATGGTGCAGACAGAGGCCCAGTACAAGTTCATCTACATGGCCATCTGCGAGTTCATAGAGGCAACCAAGAAAAAGCTGGAAGTTATCCAGGTGAGAAAGGGGACTCCACTGTTCTGTAAGCCTAGGCCATGCATGGTGCTGGCTCTGAGCATGAGTGCTCTGTTTCACAAGCTTTAAGCTAGCACTGGTCCCAGTGCTACACAGACTACAGTGGTGCAGCAAGATTTGAGTTCTTGTTCCCCTCTTCAAAGTTTGGGGCTCAAGAAGACCTGTTCCAAGTACCAGCCCCTTCTGAACTACTAGGCAGCAGTAAGTTTTAATGCAATTACTTCAACCATGTTCAGTATAACATCTCCAAGTGCTGTTTTGCTACAAGCTCAATCTAGGACAGACAAAGACTTTATCCTCTCCTTTCCTCTTTGTCTATTCCATCCTGGTTCTGCAGTTGCAGCATTTTCTCCTGCTAGCTGATAAGTGACATCTTTTATCTCTTTGTAGCCTCTGGCAGCATTCAGAGCCTGCTACTGTTTAATATTCTTTAGCTGACATTTGGCACTCTCAGGCATTCCAGTGCCTCCAGAGATTTGTAGCCCCACTGTTCCCCCTGTACAGGGCTGCATTTGCATCCCTGCTGCTCACCTGACAGCAGCAGAGAGCACTGAGCCTGGGGACTTCAGCAATCCACCAACCTCCAGAGATCCTGGCACAAAACATGGTTTAACAAGCAGAACTCTTCCATGGTATCTTACATACTTCTTCCAGACCACACACTTCTCAGTCTGCTTTTCCTCTCCTGTAGTCCCAGAAAGGCAAGCCAAACGAGTGTGAATATGGGAACATTGCCTATCCCCCTGCAGTGAGGAATGTGCACACCAAGGTTTCAAGAAAACCCTCCAAGTAAGTGCTCACCTAAATCAGAGGCCCAGCTGTGCCTGTCTCTGGCAATAGTCTGCCTGCTGGCTTGGCTGGCTTTTTCCTCTTCCTCAGTTTTCCCCTTGTTTTTCCCTGGTCTTACAGGCAGAAAGAGGAGTCAACGATTTATGAGAACTTGGGGAAAAAGGAGGAGAAGATGCGGAAACAGCGCTCCTCAGAGAAGAAGCTGAAAGGCTCACTAAAGAAAAAATGATGATACGTTGCAGGTGGCCCCATGGGGGTTTTGAACCTCTGGTGTAGGACTGGAGCTGACATCCAGGCTGGCCAGTTTCACATTCCTTGCTCTTGGACTGGAACTAGGCCCTCCTCTTCACTTCTGTGCCACCTTTCAGTGCCCTGATGAACCAGACTGCTTTGCAGCTCAGCTGACCCACTTCATGGTCTCTTGCCTGTGCAGGCCAGCAAAGCCTCTTGCTGCCCCTTCTTCATTCATTAGCAAGAAAAAAACCAACACAGCCCTTCTTTCCCCTGCTCCCTGAGCACTGGGGCCAAACTCACCTCTCTTGTGTCAGCTTCAGTGGACTTCTTGAGGAAAAGCTAAGGAAGGTCATCACAGGAGCTGCATCTCTGCCCACTGCAGTGAGTTAACAATTTAGCCTGTTAAGTGTTCCTGAAGCCACAGCTATTCAAGTGTGTGAAGGTTTTGGCCCCTTTCAGCTCAGCTCCTCTGCAATTCAACAGGAAACTTCCTCTTTCCTTAATACCAACTGTCTGCCCTATGATCCTTTCTCTATCTGGTCCTTCAACTGGATGCTGTAAATATACCAGAATTTGATGTGATGGCCATGTTTTCTTCTGCGTTTGTAAATAAATGTGTATTTGTTTGACTACTGAGTCCCAAAAGGTTTTTTCTATAATTTTCCTGAGTATAGCTGTACTCCTGATTTCACTTACAAGAACAGCTTTAGCTTAGTTTTCATGACTTTCTGCAGCCTTCAGATTCCTGAACAGAAGCTGTGACCAATTATGGTGGCTTCTTGCTGTGAGGCTCGAGTGTTGGTGGTCATCAGGGAAGTTTGAGCACAGGAACTCCGCTGTGACAAACTCTGACATAGCTTTTGCACCTAAATTTTGCTTGGGAATTGTCAATAATTGAATGGACGAAGCCACATCTGATCTGACCTAGTGCTGGTAACAGTGCCACTTGCAGCAGCAGCCTGGACCAAAGGCTCCTTCCCACCATGATTTGATCGTCCTGTGAATGCTGGAAAGCATGCCTTAGTGCTAGAGCCTGTCCTTGGGGAAGTTAGAACGGGACTCAGCACGGTTTTTAAAGTCTTGCCAGTTAAAACTAGGCTCACAGCCTAGCAGGTACTGCTTAGGCTGTGGGCATTTGCTACTCAAAGATGGCTCAGGTGTCTTGGATCTGGTTAGAGCTAATGGCTGGAAGAGCTCAGTCCCACTCAGGGAAAAGTCTGAGCTAGGTCATAGAGGGACCTAGGATCCAGACCAAGAATGCTTGGAAATGTGGGACAGGGGATTTTTGTCTGGTCTGAGCCACTTGTAGGTCCCCATGTGGGAAGATAACTGCACCATCAGCCACTATCAGCTGTCTGACACAGGACCATACTGAGCGCTTTGAAGTCCAGCTGTGATTGCAATCCCGTGCTTTGTGGTGGGGATTTTAGGACCAGGCTCTCCTCTGAGTTTATGAGCACAAATCCAGGCTGGGGAAGGGGTAGAAAAGAGAAGGAATGGGATGCACCTTAACTCTGTTCCAGTGGCAATGGCCAATGTGCCTGCAAGGTGATGTACCTGCCTGGGAGCCAGCAAGGTGAAGCAGGTACAAACCAGCTGGAAGCACACACTGCATCCTTGTTATCCTGCCACCTGCCCAAGGATGTGCCCACACTCATGCCCTTGGCAGGAGGGAGCAGGGGCCCCATCAGCAAGGTGGGGCAGGGTGATTTAGGCAACTTCAGCCAAGTTCCTTGCTTTGATCTGGTGCCAGCAGAGCCAAGGCAAGGCTGGACAGTGCACAAGAGGACAAGCTCTATAGACGCTGTAGTGATTTCAGCCATACTAACACTGAGAATAGTATCCCCCAAGCCCACACTGCATGGCACAGGTTCAGCAATAATGTACTTTCAAGATGAAAGAACTCATCTTAGAATTTCACCCTATGTCTAGGCAACAGGAAAGCTTAAGAGGGATAGATCACAGCCCCAAGGAGGAGTAGTACCACATGCTGTCCTGTACGTTCTAGGGGACATTCTGCCCCTCAGCTGCAAACTTTGTCTCAAGCAAGCAAAGGCAGAGCCAATGCCAGAGCAGCAATCCCATCCTTTTGGAGTTCAGCAGCTGTTGCTGGAGCACATGACTGTGAGAAAAGCTGCCTAAGATACAGACACATACCTGAGACACAATATATTGGGAGGAACGACACTGCTTGCTGTCATCTGATATGGCAAGAAACTTGGTTGGAAGTATTTGGAAGACAGAAGACACTATGAGCAGACCCTCTTCCCATGTGCCAAACTTCAGCTTCCCTTAGCCTGTGAACCAATAGGCATGTGCATTTACCAGCTGGCTTTGCAATTCTGCTGTGCCAGATGAAGAAGCAGGAAAGAGACAGTGGGAGAAAAAATGGGCATAAGTAAAGATGGGTGGAGGGAGTTATACTGTTTCACCTCTCAATGATGCCAGATACCCTCTTCTAAGCCATGTGGGGATGAGGCTAAATACCTAAACTAAAGAAACACCTACCTTTGCTTTAGACTTCTGGGAAGCTTCAAGAGACAGGATTCAATTCACTTCCTTCTTAAAAAGGTGCCACAGCTTAAAGCAAGGCATAGCAAGGGTTAGTTTAAACTAATCAAAGCTTGAAAATGAAGACATCTTGTGGAGCAAGCTCAGGCTACTGAGAACCTCACTGTGTTCAAATCCCTAAGCTTAATGTATCCATAACATCCAGTCTACAGAGAATTTAGTCTGAACAAGAACCTCCATGATTGTACATCACAAAATGTAGCACTGAAGCAAGCAGGCTACTCTGCTTTACACAGGTACTGTTACACACAGATTGCTTTGGGGGTGGCTATTTGGGAATGCATTTTCAAAGCTGAGCTGGTTCAAAAAATTCATGCTTCCTTGACGCTGCAAGTCAAAACCTATGGGCATAAGTTATGGCTGGGATTACCAGTACGTTTTAAACCAGGAACCCATAATCTTACCTGTTTCTGTAAACATCTTGTGCTCTGCCTCACCAGAGGAAGAGGTCCCTAAAGGCCTCTCCTCTTCACTAGAGAGTGCAAGTTGGAGTTGTTTGTAGAAAGAGATTGTGGGCTGTAAATAGAGATGGGCTCTTGACATGATCATGAAAGAGTTTACAATTTTTAGTGATATGAGAAAAACTGTCAGCAAAGCTACTCCTCTGGACTTGGGGAGAGCAGACTTTAGGGTGCTCAGGGAAGTAGTTAAGTAAGGTCCCCTGGGAATCCCCTGCTCACTTTTTAATGGCCTTTTTTCAAGAGCACAGTAGCAGGCATGTCAGAAGTCAAGCCAGTGGGGCAGAAGGGGCTTGACTGAGCTGGGATCTCCTTCTGCAACTCAGCAGAAAGCATATGGACTTTGGATGCAAGGATGGGCTACACAGGAGGACAACAGACATGCTACTCACTATAGTAAGCAAATTTGTACGGTCCAAGCTCAGCTGAAGTTGAAGCTGGCTCATGCTGGGGTGGGTAACAAGAGGCTTAAGTATATTAACAGCAGAAGATAGACCTAAAGGGAACACTAGTCTGTTACTCAGGGAGGTGGATCACCTCATCCCTGAGTCGTGAGGAAGACAAAGCAGAGACATCCCATGCTGCCTTTGCCATTGTCTTTGACACAAATGTTGGGCCCTGGAATGCCTGGAGCACTGGGCTGGATGGTGATAGCTGGGGGAGTGATAAGCTCAGTCTGGCTTTGAACTAGTGTGGGATTTGCTGCTGCAACTGACTGCACTCAAGTCTACGGGACCCCAAGGGGTACTGAAGAGTTGGCTGATGTTACTGTGAGATCTCTCTTGGTTATTTATCAAAAGTCTTGGCAATCTGGAGAGGCCTCACTCAACTGGAAGCTGGCAAATGTTGTCCCAATTTTCAAGAAGGGCAAGAAAGAAGACCTTGGTAATTACAGGCTTACCAGTTTTACTCTGGTAAAACTATGGAAAATATTGTTCTGGCAGTTATTGAAAGAGGTGAAGACAATGCACTCATTGATCAAAGTCTGCACAAGTTCACAAATGGAAAGTTATGCCTTACTAACTTCACAATCTTTCACAACAAGGTTGGTTTTTTTTAAATTTTAGCAAAGCTTTTGGATACAGTCTCTCACAGAACCCTTCTAGGTACTGTTCGGCATACAGCTAGAAGTGTTCACAGTACAGTGGGAGAACGACTGGCTGAAGGGTCAGGTCCAAAGCGTTGTAGGAAAAGGAGTGACATCTAACCAGTCACTAGTGGTGTTCTCAAGGGTTCCATTTTAGGGCCTGTTCTCTTCAAAGCTTCTATCAATGACCTAGACACAGGGGTCAAGCATGCACTAAGCTTGCTGATAGCACTAAATTAGGAGCTGTTGATTCCCTCAAGGGCACAGAGGCCTGACAGAGAGATCTTAATAGATAAGCATGCTGGGCAAGCATCAACCATATGAAATTAAACAAGAACAAATGCCAGATTCTGCACCAGAATGGTGTAATCATGGGTGTATATATAGACTGGGGCACAAGACACTGGAGTGCCACCCTGCAGAAAGGCATCTGGCCATTTTGGTTGGCTCTGTCAGGCAAAAAAGGCCAATGGGGTGCATTAGGCACGGAACTGTTCACTGGCCAAAAGTGATGGCCCCACTGTACTCAGCATTGTCCAGCCTCACAAGTACTCCATGCAGTTTCAGGCTTCATGATGTAAGGAGGATATAAAAATCTTAAAATGTGTCCAAAGGAGGGCAACAAAGATGGCAAAAGGCAGTGTGACTTACAAGTAGCAGCTGAGGATACAAGGTTAGTTCAGCTTAGAGGAGTCTGAGGGCTGACCTCATTGCTGCCTATGATCTCCTCATCAGGGGGAGCAGACAGGAAGGTGCTGATCTCTTCCCTTTGGTGTCCGGCAGTGGGCCATGAAGGAATGCTTTATAGCTGCGTCGGGGGAAGTTCAGATTGGATATTAGGAAAAAGGTCTTCCACTGACACCACGGGCAACCTCCCTAGGGAAGCAGTCATGACCCTGAGTCTGTCTCTGTTCAAGACATACTTAGACAACACTCTTACCTATGGTGTTAACTTTTAGGTTGCCCTGTGTGCAGCGAGGAGATGAACTCGATAATCCTTGTGAGTCTCTTCCGACTCAGGATATTCTACAATTCTAAGACTGATTTCTCCAAGTCCTAAGCCTTAGCACAGGAC